TTTCAGATGGGCTTTTAATTAAAAAAAAAAAAAGTAGTGAGACTGAATTAGGAAAATGTGTGCTTTTATGTAATCAATTAATATACATTGTAATCAGCTGAATGCATTAAGACTAGGAAATGTTAGTAGCAACAGTTCTGAGTGATAGAGTTGTCATGGACAAAAGGCTCGTATTAAGTGTAGGGGCTTGAATACTAAAGATGACATATTACTCACATTAAAGGGAATATGATTTAATTCTGTTTTTCCTTTGTGTAGGCAGACAGTCCCATGCTCATATGCATGCTTTGCAGCTGAAGTTTAGTCTCCTGTCCTGTGTGTTGTGAACACAAGTATGCATGTTTTACTGAGGCAGCTGAGTGCCCTTTACCAATGTGTAGCTGATAGGGCCAGGCTTCAAAAGAAAACCTTAGTCTGCTATCTAAGCATCTGAGGCAGAATATTTTCAATTAATGAGCAGAACTTGCAATTCAAATTTTTCAAAAGATAAATCCCATTGTAGAAAACTAAGGTTCAAACCAAATACCACTGAATGTCAGAAGGATTCCCACTGACTCAACTTCGAGTGCGGATGCAACTTTGAAAGTGCAAGGAGGCTGACTTTCTAGGAGTGAGATCATCTTGACCAAATTTAAATTTATGTTGGTGTAGTGTGTCTGCCCCAGTGATTTCCCCTTCCTAGTACTTTCATCAGTGCAAGTATTTCTCCCAGATCAATACCACCAGCATTTTCTGTCCCTTAATTTGTATGGAAGCCAAAGGAATTATTCCCAAAGTTAAAATACTAGATCCATGAGAGTATGGACACAGTGGAGACAGGGAGCCATGCCAACACATCATCAGGTCATGACTTTGATAGAGAACTAAGGATGTAAGCCAGAGTAATGCTGCATTACTTACAAGTGGCAATGGCTGCTGCTTCAGGAGTTGGAGAGGCTGGTAGAGTGGATGAGTTTGTTACTATGAGAAGAGAAATGTGAAATTAAACATTGTCCACATTTTAAATACATTAAAGACTCACATGAAAAATAGTAAACTGCTCACCATGGTTCAAGAAATGACCAGAAATACCTGTTTTTTCAGCTGTCGTGGACTCAGTCAGGACTGTCAAAGAGAAAGTAAAAGCCACGCTTCAGTAACTGTTCCATTATTGTGTGAGCAAAACAAGGGCTGTTAATGGGGAGGGAATCAGTTTACTCCCAGGATCAAGCATTAGACCAGTTCTACTAAAGCTAAAGTCATTCCTACCTGCTGCTTCAGGTGTCGTGTCTTCTGCAGGGGCTGATCCAGACATGAGAGAAAACAAAACTGCAGGTTAAACATTGTCCTAGCACTGGGTAGGCATGAGTGTATTGTGTCTGTGTGGCAAGGTTTTGGTGGTGGGGAGGCTACAGGGGTGGGTTTTGTGAGAAGCTGCTGGAAGCTTCCCCCTCTGTCCAACAGAGCCAATGCCAGCCGGCTTCAAGCCGGACCCGTTGCTGGCCAAGGCTGAGCCCATCAGCGATAGTGGTAGCCCCTCTGGGAGAACAGATTTAAGAAGGGAAAAAAGTTGCTGCAGCACAGAAACTGCAGCAGAGAGAGAAGTGAGAAGATGTGAAAGCCCCAGCCCTGCAGACCCCCAGGTCAGTGCAGAAGGAGGGGAGGAGATGCTCCAGGCGCCGGAGCAGAGATTCCCCTGCAGCCCGTGGGGAAGACCACGGTGAGGCAGGCTGTCCCCCTGCAGCCCAGGGAGGTCCACGGGGGAGCAGATCTCCACCTGCAGCCTGTGGAGGACCCCACACCAGAGCAGGGGAAGAGTGAGGAGTCCTCCCCCTGGGGAGGAAGGAGCAGCAGAGACAATGTGTGATGAACTGACCCCAGCCCCCATTCCCCGTCCCCCTGTGCTGCTGGGGGGGAGGAGATCGAGAAATCAGGAGTAAAGTTAAGCCTGGGAAGAAGGGAGGGGTGAGGGGAAGGTGTTTTAAGATTTAGTGGTTTTTTTTCTCATTATCCTACTCTGATTTGATTAGTAATAAATTAATTTTCCCCAAGTCAAGTCTGTTTTGCCCATGATGGTAATTGGTGAGTGATCTCTCCCTGTCCTTATCTTGACCCACAAGCCTTTCATTGCATTTTCTCTCCCCTGTCCAGCTGAGGAGGGCAGTGATAGAGCAGCTTTGGTGGGCACCTGGCATCCAGCCAGGGTCAACCCACCCCAGTGAGATACCCAAGCCACAGGAGGCCTGCAGGTCTCATTCGAGAGGCGATCAGCCACAGCACCTGGAAGATGCTGCTGCTGCAGCATCATGGTTAAATCCATGAGGATATACACACAGTGGAGACAGGGAGCCAGTAAATACATGATCAGAACTTGAGCAGACAACCAAGCACGTAAGCCGGAGTAACGCTGTATTACTTACGGGGGGTAATGTCTGCTGGTTCAGGAGTAGGAGAGACCGTTACTGTGAGAAAGAAAAGAAGAAATAAATTTTGTCTGCATTTTAATTGTATATTTTTGCCCCAAAACATCGCATGATGCCACGTGAGTAACTGGGAAGCCCTTGGCTGCATGGCTGAACGCGGCCCGAGCATCGCGGCATACGGCCGTGAACACAGAGCTGCGGCGGCACAGCGACGTGCATCGCCTCTGCAAAACCCTGCAGCGAGACCCTGAGATGGGGCAGGGAAACAAATAACACGGCTGGACAGGGCACGGCTCTGGCAGCCAGCGCTGCCTTGTCAGGAAGGCGGGTAGTCTGCTAAATCCTGAATTGAGACTGAAAATGTGAGTGTGTGACAGTTAATTTCTCGAGTCAGTCCCGGGGAGCTGTGTGGGCCAGGGATCCTGCTGTCTGGCATGGTCTGACAGTACTTCTGCTCACCGCCGTTCAATAAGTGACCAGAAATAAATACCTGGTGTTTCAGTTGTCATGGACTCGGTCGGGACTGTCAAAGAGAAAATAAAAGCCACGCTTTAGTAATTTTTCCAGTACTGAGCAAGCAAAGCACAGATTGACAAAGCAAAGCAGCGTTATCATTTAGGTGTGATTAGGCCTGGTATACTGAGCTCCCCAATCCAACTACATTACAGTAGTTTACCCCATAATTTGGCATTTGTGTAAACCAGCTTGCGGTATTTCTACCGCCCTCGAGGGTGGATGGAAACCACGTGCGTGGTTGTGCGTATCTCCACAGAGGCAAAAGAAGTCAGTGCGGCAGGACGCCTCTGTCCGCAGATCCCACCAGGAGTTGCCGTTCACCGGAGCGCCTTGAATTCCTCAGGGTTAACGATGCGGTAAGGGCCCTATCACCTCCGAGAGAGCATGAATTTCAGCTCAGTGCTGCTAAAGTCCAGGGGAATCAGCACTCTGCTGCGGGATAAGTTGTATTTGACTAAACCTGAGATAAATAAACAAACACTGAAGTACTCCATACCTTTTGGTTCAGGTACGATAAGCTCCGGAGGGACTGTCAGGAGAGAAAATAAAAGCCATCAAAAGAAGGAAAGCCAGATCAATGCTTTCAGTTATAAATTGAGACAAGCAGCAGGACAGTCAGGGCTCTCCCCAGAACGGTGACTGAGGTTATGCTTTGTGAAGAAGCCTTGGAGAAGGCTGCAGGTGTTTCTCCCATGCTATTTTCACTGCCACCCCATGCAATGAGTACGTCTGTCAACAGGGGGGCAGAGAAGCAAACCTGGTGGGGACAGGTATAATTTCTGTCCTGCCTCCTCACCCAGGCTGAAATCCAGTATGAATTGCTGTTTGCAGTGAGGTAGCTCCACCACTGCAAGATCTGCATGAGCCCAGCAGATGAGCTGTCCGGAACTCCTTTTTAAATTAAATAAATTATGTGCAGCTTGGGAAGGTTAGTTGGGAAACAAGCATTTTGTTCTGTAAATTACTAAAATGTTTAAGCAAGTATGGCTCGTGCTGCAATACAGCCTCTTGATGCATTGGAGGAGAAATGTCTTGCAGTGTGCTGGATTGAGCAGGACTGAGTGAATTAGGAATGCAGGCTGATAGTCTGAACACGATTTCTCCTGAAATGCTTCTCCTGGGGCTTGCAGCTTATGTACAGCACATCAAAGATTTGTTGCAATTGTTTCTCAAATATTCATTGTAATTATTTGTCAGTAACCATCAACTAAGAACAGTGCATGGTAGTAGAAAAAGGGGAGAATAGAAAAAAAATTACAAAAGTAAAATCAAAGTGAAAATATAGGCCTCTTCAGAGGGGTACAGAAACCTTATTCACTTCTTCAGGAATGTGTAAGTCCCACAGCTGTTGTTATTCATTATATCATTATAATACAGTATGACAGCACAGCGTGAGTATCACTTCCCTATAGGATCTCACTTTCTCTTGGACAGAAACAGCGGAGTCCACAAAGGTGCAGTGGCCTGCTAGCCTACACTGATGTCTAGCGTCAGACACACCACATTCACCTAGTGCCAGGACCTCCAACAAAACAATTTCCATCTGCATCCTCAGCTGGCAGGAATTTTCTTCCTTTTCCTCAATAAACTTCACATAAATATGATGCAGATCTTTGAAAATGAGTACAAGTTCATAAAGAGAAGAAAATACGTTTATAAAATTGCAAGTCTGATACAAGTACTTTGAGGGTCTTAGGCAAATAGTCTTTGTCCCCAAAGCAGAGTCCAGGTTGGTCTGCCAAAACTTACTGGTGGTCCTCTCTGGAGGAAAATGCCTATAGCCCCGCTTTTCCCTCTCTGCTTCCCCCAGACCCAGGTAGAGGAATCCCTTGGTGGAAGGAGGAGATGGCCCCAGGATGTTTGGAGCCCACGGGGGGCTGGTCCCACCTGTGACCAGGGTGCCCATGGCCATCCTTCTTGGGTCTCATCAGCCTCCCCTTTCCCTCCACAGCCGCTGCCAAAGGTCCCCGTTCCCACAGCGGCTCCAAGCCTTGCACCAAGCTCTTCCCTTCACCCATACCAGCTTGCATGCACAGCTTAGGAAACTTAATTCACATTAAATGAAATGGAAAAGGTGAATACCTTCACAAATAACACCAGCGTCTTCCTTGTGGTAGCAGTCGTGCGTGCCCAGCCCTCCGTGAGAGCAGTGCTCCAGGGAGGACTCATCCCCTCTGCATGCCACGTCGTCCAGGAGAATATCTCCTGTGCCTTCCCCAAAAAAGGCTTCGATTTTGGCTGAGACAGCCTTTCCGCAGCCCAGCTGCCTGCACACAACCGTGGCATCCTTCATGTTCCAGCCATCATCGCAGACGGTTGCCCAGCTCCCGTTGTGAAAGACTTCGAGGCGACCCGAGCACACATCCCGTCCGTTAACCAGTCTCAGGGACATGTCTTGGAAAAGCAGAAGGAAATGCATGGGCACTCAGCAGCCTCAGAAAAGGGCTTTCCAGGTGCATTCATCGAATAGCAAAAGCCAACTTTGTTGTGTTGCACAGAAAGTGGCAAAACCATGAAATTAATCTTATTGTAACAAGCGACACTGTGTCAGTTCATCAGCTATGATAAATCCTTACTCTCATAGTGTGCCATATATACTTGGGAGTAAATATAAAGATTTTCTTTTCTCTTTTGGGCTCTGATGTATATGTCTGTAGCTAACAAAACCATTCCTATCAATACCAATATTCTTTAACAGCAAAACTCTCAGATAAGCCTCAGATATCTCAGAAACTCATCTTACATGCATTTACTTGCTTTGAAATTTTTACCTATAAAATTTTTGCCTTCCTACCAGTGCTTAAGTTACTATATAAAATATATCAGCTGTGAAAGCTTTGCAAGACCCATCTAGGGAGAACTCACCAGCTGGAATGGTCGCTGTTGTGACCGGGAAAGTATCTGGCTCTAGGAAAGGAAACAGAAAAGTGAATTTCTAGTTTTACTACAGAGGATGCGTAATGACCTTCTGCAGTTACTATGTGAAAAAAAAAAGAAACCGGTAGTCATGTAGAGCAACCCATTCATCTCTGGAAGCACCATCACCAAGAGGGAAAAGGCTGCAAACCCTTTTTTAAATGTCAGGTGTTAATGGTTGCAATTACCTTGCAGGTGTAAGCTTTAATTGTTTTAGGTGTGGGACATAATCACCAAGGAGACACATCTGCTAGGGTTGTGTGTTTAACTCTGCTTGAGGTCTTTACTAAAAAACCTAACTCTATTAAAAATTTGCTTTGAATTTTTTCCCCAGAGGAAGTTATCCCCAGGATAAGCTGTAAACCAGTATTCTTTGTGCCAGGTCACATCCACAACCCCTTTCACCCAGTTAGGTTTCACCTTGGACATTTCAGGCTCCTAGAACGCCTGCCACGTGAATGAGCTTTGTCCGTGGACCACCACGTGTTGTAACACCGACTGCAGTGACTCGGGCTGTCCAGCTACATATGTGTTTCCAGTCAGAATACAGAATTGCTGGAAAACTGGGAATTGATTAAGAAAAATCCTAAAGGAAGTTACTAAAAATAATTTCCTACTAAATACGGGAAAAGGAAATTTGATTTACTAGTCATAGTTCATAATTTATGAAATCAGGACTAGGAGGACTGAAATATGATAGTGATCATGTAAAATTATGATTCAAATAGTAACGCATAAAGCGGTCAGGTAATAGAGTAGGAAATGGCATCAGGTACGATTGAAAATTATATTCCAGGTAGCCAAAGGATTTGAGAATTAAAATAAAAAAATTAAAACACAAACCTGTGTGAATAAACTGCATGGGTTAACAAAAAGAAAAAATGTGGTAAAACACAGCGATTCTCATAGGTCTTGGTTTCATGCCTGAAACAATTCCACTGATGGAAACAAGCTGCGCATCAAAATCTTAGCTGCAGGCAAGCTCTCGTTGCTCGCGAAACAATAATTTCCCCGAGATGTGCTAGCGTACCTGCGCAAATGACGCCGGCGTCCTCTTTATGTCGGCAGTTGTGGACGGCGATGCCTCTGTGGGAGCAGTCCCACAGGTTGTCTTCATCCCCTCTGCACCGCACGTCATCGAGGAGGATTTCCCCAGAACCCGGACCAAACCGGGCTTCAGACGCAGCTACCAGAGCTTCTCCGCACCCCAGCCTCCTGCACACCACTTTGGCGTCCGCCAGCTCCCAGCCATCGTCGCAGACCGTTCCCCAGCCGCCGTCGTGATAGAGTTCGACGCGCCCCGAGCACCTCCCGCCGCCGTCCGCCAGGCGCAGAGTGGAGGTATCTGCGGCGGAGAAAGAGCCCGTCCAGAGCATCAGTGGTGTTTGGCCAAGGCAGTGGCACGGCCCGTCTTTTTCGGGGCAAATGCCACCCCGGGGAAGACAGGAGCAGGTAGCCTGCAACGGAGTCTGCTCTGGCAAAGGACCCTCCCCTGAATTTCAGTGCCATTGTGGGATAGATGTTATAAATGCTCGAACCCACCTTTCTACATGCCCAATGGGTATGGACATCGTCCTCTTCCAGAATGTGCTCATCTCTGGGGAAAATGATCCTCACCTGTGCGGCTAGCTGCCACCTCTCCCCACTTTGTGCAACAAAGGGAAGGTTTTCTACCTTTTCTTTACCATCATTCTCATCTGTACTGTAGAGCTGTCTAAAGGACGAACACAAATACCCAGAGCCAACCTTTTCCTGGGTTACCTTGCAATCTAAGTTTCTTCCTTTAAATAATGCCTGGTTCAGCTTCTTTTCCCATCCTTGCTAACCCTCTGGCATAACAGATGGTTGGCACAGCATCATTTCCCCAGAATAGTAGCAGAGCTATTTCTACAGACCAGACTCATTTCTGAGAGCTGGGTACTTACGGAATACTCCACACATTTATCTCACTTTCAGAGGGAAAAGCTTTTAGAGATCTGAAGTTCCAAATTAGTTTTATGGGCCTGGAGTGTATTTTTCTTTCAGAGAAAGAAATCAGAGACACTGCCGACAACGTAATTGAGTTCCTCCTCGTTTGTGGCCATCATAAACTGTACCACGTATACACACCTGTCTTACTCCTTGGTGGGTCAGTGATTACGAAGTTTTCATTTTGGGACATTTTGCTGTCACCTGGCAGCCATTTGTAACCAACTAATTCACATCCATTCAGAATGAGGGCCATGTTTCCTAGGACTCTCTTTCTCCTTAATTCTTCTTAATTCCTTTTTCCTGACCATGATCAAAGCTCCTTCCATCTGAGTACCATGCTTATCATTTACCTCTGCAAAAGTTGGCTGTAAAGAAATGCCAGCACAATGTGCTTGGCTCGCTTCCCAAGAGCTAGGTCTAAACATCTACAAGAGTGCCAAATATGATTTCAGGGAGAAAAAAAGATAATTGAGACAAAAGATAATTAACCTGTTGATCTAGGCATTGAGTATTCACCAGGGAAGGTGAAAGTTGTTAAATAAAATGTTTAAGAACTGGACTATGGTAGCTATCTAAATCCAGGTGGGAATAGGGAGAAAGAGACAGATTAAAAATTCTATATCCAGATCCAGATCTTGACTTAAATTACAGGCAAAAATAAATTTGTTGTGATTCAGCTGATATTACAAATGGCTTTATAGGGAGGGAGGCATCTTTCCTGTTAAAGTTGCTAAGTCAATGAAGTATTTCATTAATCTGAAATATCAACATCAATCTGAAATTTTGGGGGCACTTTTTCAGAAAATAAAGGACTGATTAAGTAACAGTCCCAAGGATCTTTAATGTATTCTTGTGGGGTTGTCTACAGACAGCTGAAAGGCAACTTTTTTACTTTCAGCAAATTAATAAAAGAAAAGAATTGATATTTGTATCTCTTCAAAGTCAATGCTGTGTGCTTAGTTAAGTTAGTTAATATGATGAAAGGAGTCAGTGAGCACCTACTTTTCCTGAGACTTTAACACAAACAACAGTTTACCACACACCATACATATATAAAATGAAGTTGTTTGCTCACATACTTGGTTGAGCAGACATAGGCAAAGCACTTAATAGAGGCACACAGTTGCATAGCAATGAGGGTATTATTAGGAAACCATATATACCATATATGTATTAAGTTCCTTAAACCTGCATAATAGCCAACAGATCACTCATTTAAGAAATTCACGTTCAGCTTCCGACAGCCAAGCAGATCAAAGTCAATCTTGAGGGACCACATTAATTTCTCAGTTTCACTGGTGTGTGCAAAAAAATGCAAACTTCTTTCATTCAGCTGGAATAGAGCCCGGGCTGAATAAGTAAGGTAAGCAGCAAAATCTGATCAAAGCTCTGTAAAATATTCTTCAAAGTAGGAAAGTTTTCATCTCTATCCTTTTGAAAGTCAAATGACTGGCAGGAAAAAGGTAGAAAAACACTGAAATTTCTTCTTCACTGTGCTGAAGATTTGTCTGTCCATATCTAAGATGTTTGTAGAAATTAGGGTGGATAGATCCTAGATCTTGAACATGAAAATATTGTTCAAAATAAGGTTAATGGGAGGAGCAGTAAGCAAATCCGTATTACACTTTCCAGTGCTGCTACCACTGGTACTGAGTCACAGCTCTGAACTTCTGGCAGCACAGATAATAAGGCTGTAGAAGACAATCAGTGTTTAAAAAAAGTCATAGAGAGGAGTTATCAGTTGCCTTGCTAGTTGTTTATCATGTTTTGCAGCATCTTGGACTAACAGATGGTACGGGTGTTAAACAGCCAGCCACGGCTACCGAACCGTAATGAGATCCTCAGCCCTTGCCACTGAAACTGGAACGGGACAGATAGAGTAGCAGAAGGAAAGGCAAGATCTGTGCGCTCTCTGGAGGACACGATGAGAATTCAAAATGATCTTCATAAACTGAATAAATGTCAAAAATCAGCAAGCTGAAATTCAATAAAGACAGGTGGAATGGGCTGCTCATTGGAAAGAGAAAACCAATGCACAAGGGCAAAATCATCCTTTCAGCTGCCACCAAAGGACCGCAGAAAAACTGGAAGTTGGTAATGTTAACGCTACAGTGAGCCAGTCCAGCCTCAGTCTGGCTCTCAGAGTGATACGTGGGAGCTACTTATTCTCCTTGGTGCTAAAGAGACCTCAGCTGCTCAGACAGCGATTGCACATTTAAGAAAGATAGAGATAATGGGGAGAGCTGGGATGAATGAATCAAGAATATAATAGGCTTGAAACTCATGAGCTCTGAGGAAAGCTTTAGAGAGCCGAATTTAGTTTATGTGGGAAGTGTCTTCCACTTTTCTGAAGAGGGGCTTTGAAGAGGATGGCCACCAGTTTCTCTGACTCCCTGGAGTCCACAGGAAGCTAGAAGAGCAACTGTAGGCACTACAGAAAATGTCCATCAAGAAAAGAACTTTGAATATAGTGTCCCACACATTTTTTTGCGTGTCTTGAAAATATCTGTCAAGTCCAGAGCCAAAGTACACATAGTCATCTCCCCTGGTGGAGATTTGCATAGGAGTTTAAAGCCTACTCATGCTACCAATTTCTGCTTGATTAGAAGGGGAGGTAGGACAGCATGCGGTGGATAGGAAGGTGCCAGCTCAGCTGATGGCTTATGCAAAATGGGCCTGTCTGGTGAAATTCTGGTTTTAAGATTTTTTAATACCTAAGAAATTATTTCCTAGATTCACTAAGACAGTTCATTCATTAAAAAACTTGCAAAGCATATTACAAAATAGATGCCAGAATAAGAGTTTCCCCAACAAAGAGAATGGGGAAAAGGTGGGACATCAGGGACTTTCTGAGCCCCAAATGGTGCCTTGCGGGGTGATGCAGGACAAAGACATTTTTGCTCCTAAAGGATTCAAGGCACACAGGCTGTATCTGACTGTTCCTTACCTTCGCTCAGCGTAGGTGACGATGTTGGAGTTGTTGACGGCTCAGTACCGTCTATGACTGCGGTAGATGTGATCAAGTTGTCCATTTCCGTGACACAATGATCTGTTGAAGCTTTGAGGAAAAAACAACAGGAACAATGAACAATAATGACCAAACATGAATATGAGCCAGACTTAAATTTTTGGTTAAAATTTTCTGCATTTGTCATTTTGCCAGAAAAGTGTGAAAATACGGGAAGCTTTGTTTCAGAGAACAAACATGGACTTATCCCTCGTACTTCTACCTGAGCCTCTATCACCACATAATACCATGATAAATAAATATTTAAAATTTGGATTTTTAAGGTTCTTAGCCACTGGAGAATGAAGCAATGTATTCCTAGCCCTCTTTATTAAAACTTCATTGCATACATTTTCCATACAATATGGCTTCTCCTTAGCTCGCTCACTTAGACTCAGAATTGATTTTGCAACTATGACTTTGTCTTTGTAAGCTGTGCTTAGGATTCCTGGTGTAGATACTCCCTGAGTGTCTTCATTTACTGAAGTGGATGCAAAGGAGGAATGCAGAGATGTTGAAGGGACTATGAGAGAGTTGAGGAAATACATTACTGGAGAAAGCCATCAATCAGTGATAGAAACTGGAGCTGATGATTGCTGATATGATTTTGATTATGTCCTTGAGGGAAGAGTGAATTGGATTATAATCTCTAAAATCTGGTAATTTGAGTCAAAACTTCAAGCGAATAATCACTCAGGTAAGGTGATATTTTGTTACTGTTGACAATAAGGATCTGGGCGGCAGATCTGGGGGCTTAGGCAGCAGGCCTTCAAGTGAACTTTCTGCTGATATTCTCCATAGGCAGCTCCACAACACAAAACAACTACAGCGTGGTGTGCTTTACACTCTCCCGTCATTAGTTCCTTGGCGAGAGAGTCCAACAGGGATGAGAGGGAAAGTACAGAGAACCGGCTCCTGTACTGGGTCAGGTGGTGGCATCTCCATCTTTAAGATCGGGAAAGAATTGTCAAAGATTATTGAATCTTTAAAGTGAAGATGTCCCAGTCTGATTTAATCGTTGATGCTCTCCACTTCCCAGAAAAAAGCACTGATATTTGGGCACTTCTGCTGATAGCTAAATTATACCAATAGCACAAGCAGCTTAAAGCTCCAAATTGTTCATCATTACATGTCTCTCAGACTTTGACAGCCCAATATGTTAGAAATGAAGGATTTAGAAGCTGGATTCTTTTTTCACTTAGATGAAGCAGTTTACCGATACTAAACTTGATACAGTTACTGCAGTCCTACCAATGTAATCTATTTTAAACAAACTTGAACACTATTATTAGTATTAGATTTTTATGGCACAGTGTCTGTTCTTACCTACAGTAGCTGTGCAAGTGGTTTCTGGAGCTGAGGTACTACTGTCTCCTGTAAGTGTGGTGGGTGAAATGGATGATTCTGCAGTATTTTCAGAGGCTGTGAGAAGAAGGAAGAAACATGGAAACGAGAGGCAAAGAGCATTCAGGTAAGGCTCAATGACTGAATTCAGCTCTTGATGAATTTAATTGCCTTCAGGCTTCCTGGAAAAGGGAGTCTGCGTATTAGCTGTCTTCCACATCCACTGACATGGCTCAGAAATGGGTCTTCACGTTAATGCTTTGCATTACAAGCATCAAAAAGTTTCAGACTTCTTTCACTGAGACTGAGGAAAGCAAAAGGAGTGTGAGAAGCAAAACCAGAAATGAGTGTTTTAACTCAGCAGTGACATTTATTGGTATATAGTTTCCCAACACTGCAACGGGGCATGTCTAGTCAACTTTATTAAGAAGTACAAAAAGTGAAATACCAAAGGGCATTCTGGTTCTATAGAGGGAAATGTTTATTACAGCTCTTTCTGGCTTATCCCATTGAAAGTCTTTCTCCCAGGGTTACAGTAGTCATTGGAGAAAGGAGGGAGAGGCCATTAAGACTGATACTGAAATACTGTTTTTCCTGCAATTGTCCACCAGATCTCCTTGCCCTGTTCCTAGCAGGTGGGAACAGTGCCGAAGAGGGGAGGGAGGCTGGAGGGAGAGCCAGTTCTCTCATCCCCAGCTCGCTGGGCTGAGCCTGCAACCTCCTGGGCCCCAGGTTGGGAAAAGCTGAATCTGAGCTGAGGAATCCTCAAGAGGGAGTACAGGACCTGCCGTTCGTCCTGGACTGACTTGATAAGAAAGCCTAAGCCTGGAGGCTTATAAATTGTTTAGAATCCAGATAGGTAATGTTACAAACGGTGAGAAACATAGGCTGGGTGGCTTTTTCTGGAATCATGCTTCTTAAAGAAATAAAAATAATGATTTCCTTCAGACTCTGTGGTTCAAATTCTGCACTGTTCAGCTTCCCCTGAAGCAGGCTTTGCATATAGCATTTGCAGCTCCCTACTGGAGTAGCGGTAGCAGTGTCAGTGATAGCCTGCCCGTGCTGCCAAAAAGCCAGCGGGTTGGTACCAAGCAGGGGAAGTTCATAGACAAGCATCAGCTGCACTGGGAGATGGTGATTTCCCAACATTTCTTGGCATCTCTACTGACGTCCCCTCCTAACCAAAACTCATAACTATGTTTTTCTAACATGCTGCATGCTGTACAAATGCCCTTTACCTGTCTGCAGCGTAGTCAGGGTTTCTGGTGTCTCTGTTTCCTCTGGGATGGCAGTGGAAGCAAGGGAGGCACTTGTGCTACCAAAGGAGGCTACAAGGATGAGAAATTAAATGGTTGCAAGTAGCAATTAAAAGCACAAAGGTGATTTGAGGAGCTTGTGACTTGCTTTAGGTCTCAGGCTTGATAAGAAACTGTGCTATCAGTCTGCTAAATAACTGGAGAGGCAGAGGTCCGGCTGAGGGAGATGAGCGCAAATGCCTGGCTGTGCTCCTTAATGTTTCTGGAGTTTTTATGAATCATGGACACACAAAATCACAATGATCTGGACACTTTTGCTTTACAAAATTTTCTGTGTCATATTTATAGCTACAAGCTCAGAGGTATTAATCATTAAATGCATATATTCCTGGTATGTCCTGACAGCCTGACATTTTTCAAGTGAAAATTTTGTAAGGGCGTTGTTCCTTCACAGAGATATTTAATTTGTAGTTGTCTGCTATGAATATTTTACAGATTTACATGGTCACATCTTAATTCAGCTGAAAAACCCCAATTAACAGAATGTTTATTTTAAATAGCACTTGCAAAATGGCTGTTCTTGCCTTTATAAACTGTGGTTGGGATTTTGGGAGCTGATGTGGGAATTTCCTCTGTGACAATAGTGGATGCAGAAGGCGTGAGCGAGGCCAAGAGAAAGTTGAGGAAATACAAAGAAGAGGAGAGATTGGCAGCAGCTAGGAGTGAAGATGTGGACTGAAATTTTGATGAAAGTAAGTAGATTTGGGCTTTGCAGGACAGTGAGTCAACGCATAGCCTTTTATTTTTGCTGAAAAAAAAAGACTTTCACCTTCATTTAATATTTAATAATAAAGATAGTAGATATTTCTGACTGCATTCTTTTACTACTAGAGATGCAATAGTTGTTTGGAAAGATGCAAAGTGGCCATTGTTAGGGGAAATAAAGAATGAAATTTGCCTTGTGCTTTGGAAGTGACTATCAGCACGCAAGTGTCCCTCACCTTCCTCGAGGGTTGTCAAGGTTCCTGGGGCAGACGGTGTCTCAGCCTCTCCTGGGCTTGGGCTGGATGCAGAGGAGGAATCTGCAGAGATGGCCAGGGGGTGGGGAGATATGTTACTAATCAGAATCACCAGCACGTAAAAGAAAGACATTTCAAGGATCTCTGAAATTGTTAATACTTCAGGCATCATGGAAAAGAAAGTCAGTTCCTTGGACTTAAACTTTCGGTAATGTGGCTCAGAAGAACATCTTCCAAGTAGTAATTATAAGTGAACTTGGGAGGCAGGTGCAACTGGTGCACCTCTCAGCAGGGTATATACACACCTTATTTCCATTCTACCTTTGCACTAGCTTAAGAACCAGGAAAAATTAATCAAGATTATCAAAAGAATTGAAGGTGAAAAAAATATCCAGGTAAGAGTGCCTCATATGAATTGATTACTAAATATTAGTAGATGAGTGGCAAATACAGTTCCTATGGGCTATCCAAAGAACAGAAATAATGATACAGTGGATGAATAAATAATAATTTGGAGTAATAACTAGTAATTCAGAGCATGTACCCTTCTAGAACACTGTCTACCAAGGAGCTGTAATCACATGATTTCTGAGTTAAAAATTAGTCTCTGGGCACTTGGGGAGACTGCGAAGAGCTAATGGACTTATGTCTCAAAAGCCCTGCCCTACCTGACGGTGCAACTGTGGAGCATGCTACACCTGTGAACATCAAAAAAATGCAAAAACATTCTGAATCAACATTCTTTGCATACTAAACTCAAAACATAGCACTGTACCAGCTACTAGGAAGACAATTAACTCTATCCCAGCTGAAACCAGGACACATCCTTATGGTGTCCACAGTTATGTGTGCTCCAGCCAGCGTGCTGACAGTCCCAAAGGTAAGATTCAGTTCCACTACACTGCACGTCATCCAGGTGGATGTCATCTCTGCCAGGGCCAAAGTAAGACTGTCCCAAGACAGAGACAACTTGACCACAATCAAGTTGTGTGCATACAATGCTCCACTGTTCGTACTGAAGTGATCACCACAGACTGTCCCCCATTTGCCTTCATGGTAAACTTCAACCCTCCCCGCTCATCGGTCCCCTCCAGATACCAATTGCAGTTGTGGATCTTCTGAAACTAAAGCAAAAATTATCAGGTAAATATCTCAATTTGTTTATTCCAAGGATATCTAAACTTCTTGCGTCTAAGCTTGCATCCTCATCTATGCAGGGATGGGCTGCCCAGTGTTTCAGTGTCCCCAGTACCCAGGGCTTACTGGGGCAAGCCTGCAGCGTGCAAAGCAGTACAGGGCAGGGAGCTGAACAGCAGAGCCCAAACCAGGGCGGTTAATTCAGCCCCATTCACATGGCTCTGCTGTGTACAGGACCAGACCTGTCACGGTAGGTTATTGTTGGCTGTGCTGGTGAGATAACCAGCTCACCCAGAGCTGGCTCATGTAACTCTACAGGTGTGCCCGGTATGTTCACGCTCAGGACCATGTCTTCACTCTCTTTCTTACCTTTGGGGTTAAATTTGTCTTTTATCCATTTCAAAAATTTGTTCCATAGTAAGTTTTGACCTCCAGTTTCTGAGCCTTCTGGCGAGTTCCACCACGCACCACTTGCTATGGGAGACAAGAAAACATATTAGCATTAGTGTAACATATCACAATTCTAGGTCTATTTTATGTTTTGCTGTGAGATTGTACCTGATGTGTGTTGATACAGTTAGATACAGTAAGTGTTGGTATGTGGTGGGTTTTTGAAGCAATCCTGCGGTTCCTCCCTGTGTCTGGAAGGACATGCTCTTTTCCTCATAGTTCAGTGGAAGGTGACTGTAGAGGACCTTATTTCATAGCAGCACAAAGAGCAAAGGGATCTGACCCCAGAAATCCCCGTGTACATCCTTCACCTTCAGTGAGGACATGGGCTTCTGCGAGCTGAGCTCTGCCAAATTTCACTGGGGCAGTGGAAAGGGTTACTTACCTTTGCCATATGCAATTACCTCAATCACGGGGAGGCTGTGGACCATTTGTCTGTGCAGACCGTGACAGTTGTTTTGGCTGGCAGCCCAGCATGTTAGCTTAAATCTTTGGAAATCCTTGCTCAGGTCTGTGTGGGAAGCCCAACTTTGACTAACTCTACAGTGAAGAATATACTATATGCTACTCAAGGTATTTAAAAATGTACGTTTGATTAAACCAGCCTGTGACATCATGGTTCAGATACCAGGGGATGAAATGGTCTTCCAAAACAAGTTACAAACCTGATCACGTGGTTTTAATAATCTATAGTTTTAGTCACATAAATACCTTTGAAAATCTACTTATACTCACTGACAGGAAAAAGGATTTAGGCTGCCAGGGGGTCAAAGTAATGTTTTCAAATGGCAGCTTTTTAAAGTAATACCCTTGCTCTTTTGGAATTAGCATGCTCTGAAGAGCTGTGCCTGATTCAATCACTAAAATCAAAAGAAATTTCATTTGGGGATTGTTATTTTTTATTTTCAAATTGGCATTTGATCTTCAGACACTCACTTTCACAGACTTTTACTTCAGTGATACTAAAGTCTTGGGTTTGCAAGGATCCTAAGTGATTTTTCCAAAGTTAATCCAGTCTACATCAGGTCAAATCAAAGACAAAAGTGAACCTATGAAATAACGACAAAGATTGTAGGGTTGCTGAAGTGCTGGGATTTGACCACCTTCTTGAAATGCAGCTTAGTCCTCTTTGATGCTGAACTTCCCTCTGGATTGCCTTTGCTCTTGTCTTATAAATAATTCAATATAGCCAATCCCTTAATCTACACTCCATGAAATTATCTGGTTTTATAAAGGATTGACAAGACTTTATTTATGGTGTCCACACTGATAATTAAAGATCAAAGTACCTCATTCAAACTAGCAAGATTATAAGGCAGGTTTGGAGTTACTGTTGTTTGAAGTTTGAAGGAACATGGCACTACAGTAAAGTATATTTCCACCTGGGTCTGGCAGGCTGCTCTGTGTTTCTTTTTCTCTCTCTACATTTTTAAATGTACAGTATAGAAGAATTTAAATTCAAAACTAGAATATTAGAAGAAGAACTTCTAGAGAAAAACTTCCCCAAACTATTGCCCTCATAGAAGAGACAGAAAGAAAGTAATCTTCAGCACCTCCAGTTTTGGAATATAACCAATGGATTTGATCTGAATCTTTGAATTAGAAGATAAATTAAACCAACGATTTTATGGTACAGAGCTTGTCAGCAATATTCTAGGAGACTCTTTGCCACCAATATTCCAGGAAACTCTTTGCCACCACTTCCCAGCAAGCCGGTCTGTATTTGTAACTAATTCTCTCTCTAACATTTCCCTGAAAGCATGAAAATATATTATATACGTTACCTGGTTCAGATAGAAGAGTAGCACTTAACACCAGCAACCAAGTGAGACTCACTTGAAGGTCCATTTTCACTGCAGTTGTCTGTTCTAACCCAACGCAGTTTCAGAATTTATACTAAATGAGTTCTGGTCTACACCAAAGGTGTGTGCTGTGCAATTTGATCTTTCTTCCTGAACTTCCAGATCAATGCCAAGGAAGTGATTTACTGAGTATTTTCATTTCACAGGGTACATCCAGACATCCGGATAAGGAGATCCAGATCACAGCGCTGTTCCGGAATGGCTACCGGGATCTTCCCAAACACTCCCCAGGCCCCTTTGTGGCCGTATGTTTGATGATGTGGTTGTTCCAGGAAGCAGTGATTTACTTTTGGATATTAGCCTGTTTGGTAAGGATTGTCATATCACCGGTTAAATCCATTTCCAATTTACAACCATACTAAACCAGATTAAATTAGGGTGAGAATTGTGCCAAAAGAAGATTAGCGTCCTAAAAATGTCAGGAAAGTCTCAACAAAATTCTCTCTGTCTGCTACAGATCACTCCTGTAAGAAGTAGTTTCTATGCTTTTTCATACTCCTCTGACTCCTCTTTAACCCAGGACTAGATCCCTCGAGCATGTTTCAGATCTGCAGTTATCTCGCTCTCACTTGCAGCCTACAGAGCAGCAAAATGGCTGTAAGAGATATTGGCCGAGGCATGGTTGGGTAAGAACTGGTTTTGGGGGTAAATAAGTAGGGCTAAACTACAGCAACCAAGGAAATGGAGTGAAATAGGGCCAGAGGGTGCTAAATTAAGCTAAAACTGTGTTAAGGAGTCTGTATGTAATGGTAGCTGGTAGCTATTAGTAGCTACCGTTCAATGGTAGCTTTTCAGATTTGGTGTCTTGCATGAAAAAAGGGAATCTCACCTAGAAAGGCCATCCTATACAGCTGGAAAAGATTGCACTCTAGCAAAGCCACGGACCCAGAAGGATCCCTCCAGCCACACAGTCATCTCCTTGGCATGAGGTGGTGATGTGACCTCTGATACCTCAAAGGACACCTCCAGCTCTACCTCACTCTGTACAGTCAAGGAGAAGACGGGTCTCAGCTAGAGAGAGAAAAAAAGCAAAGCTATATTTTCTTAGCTGATTTAAGAATGAACATCAATTCTTTCTTTCCATGAATGCTTTTCTTATTTTCTTAGCACAGTACGATATGTGATATCTATCTAGATATCCATGTTTTTACCCTCACAGTACCTTCTTGAGCAAAAACCGTCATGTCAAGTATCCAAACTCCTAGTTCCATGTGGGTGTACTACTTGAATTCAGTGTCATCTCCTAAAGTGACTAAGTGGGTTTACGGTAGATCCTTATCAATATATTTCTATCCACATAGCTCTAAGCTGGGCCTGAACAGTATAGTACGTAGCAGTTTTCTTTCCTGGGAGCAATTAAGCTATTTTATACAAACATTTTTCACTTTTGAATGAAAAAGGAATTTTTAGAAACAGTCCAAAACTCCAGCTGAAATCTCATTAAGATCTTATTCTCAAAACAATGTCAAACAAATTCATTATGTCTTGAGATTTGACCCAGATCTAAGTGCTCTGGATTTAAAGATTTGGATCTGAACAATGTCACGTAGAAGGCACAGAAGTCTGATATGCATGTGCCATTTCAGTGCACTTCATATCCATCTTATAACAAAATTATTTCTTTGGCTGCTGCTGGACTTTCAATAATATTCTCTCTGGGAAGTGTAGAGTCCTGTAGAAATAGCTAATGTGTCAGTCTGCTGACTCAGCCAAACAGTGTGCTCAGCAACAAAGCTACTTGTCCAAGAAATCCCATGCAGCAGGAGCATGGTTGTTAATGGAAAGTGGGGACATAATTCACATTAGCTAGTTGTAGACATCTAATCTATTTATAAACTAAGCTCTTAATCAGTGGCATTTCAGTGCACCTCTATTTGGAGACTTGATATAGGCATAGGAAAATATAGGGAACATGGCTGAATGCAAGTATCTTGAATATGAAGGAGCATCAAGATTTGCTTTTACAGCATTCCTCGGTCTCTTTTATAAAACGGGTCCCCAAGAGGACATTAGTCCCAGTGAACATGTGGAAGGCTGAGGACTCCACTACCCAGCTCTTGCCTAGTGAGGCTGGATCTCACCTTAGGCTGTTTTACACCATATCTAAGAAGCGATGGTGGTAGGTGCAAATGCTAGCAGGGGCAGAAGATTCGTACAGCTAATCTGTAGTGATAGGTGACAAAGAATGACCAGCCTCCACATTAAACATTGCAGCTCCTCTCACGGGCATTGAAGGTGCCGTTAGAAAGGAGGTGGTAAGACTTCAGTCCCAAGCTAAGCAAGCAGACTAATCCTGCATGGCAAGAACGAGCAGTGATGACAGTAGGGCTGACTTTTGTGGTCTTGGAATAGCAAAGCTGTTTCCCAGAACATGTTCTTAAAGATATCTATTGAAATTTGCTCATAGAAAATGAATGGCGTTCATCTGCAGTGAAATACCTTTATGCTGGAGCTTGCTGTTAAGCTTTCCTCATGGAGTGATGGAGCTTTGCTGCACCGGCAAAACTGCCCCTCCCTGGAAATAGCTTCTTCCAGCTTTTTCTAACTACATACGAATTTCAGTGTGTATTTTGCATTGTGTGTCCTGTGTACACACAGAGGTACATACATTCATATATGTGACACATGCGCCGTAAGACACCTTCTGCTAAGGAGCAAGTCATCCATGTGGTCATGCTGCTCTGCAGCTCTGACCCGGCAACTTCTCCAGCATTTGCAAACAAAAGTAAGCTCACCAAAGGCATTTAAACATCTAATTTTCATGCGTTATAATTTCCCTAAGGATCTGAGTCTAACATAGTTTGAGGGGCTAAAAGCAACGGGAAAAGGCAAAGCTGTCCTGGAGGCTCTTGCCACTGGAGGGCAGCGAGGCACTGTCCTTAGGGAGGGAGCACGTTTTTTGGGTAAGATGGTCTAACACCACAGGGCTTTTGTAGGGTCCATAGAGAGGCCTCCACTCTAGCAAATACCTTTAAAAGTAAGCAGAGGTGAAAATAAACATGTGCAAAAGGGACAGCTAGAAACAGCAGGACAGTTGTTTCCATTCACCTGTCTCTTGCCAAGGCGGGAGGGTATGTCTCTGCCCAAATGGAGATGAGGAAGAAGAAAGTCTGGCCCACCTCAGACATCCATCTATTTCATCTTCCCTTGCAGCTCTTCACTCTTTATCACTGAAAGATGTTATAAAGCATGACACCTGATAGCTCTCATATCTAATATTGGCAAAGAATTTCACTGAAGTGTCTTTGAAGGAATAAACTAGGACTGACTGCCTTTCTCCTATACGTGTATTTCTTGTACAAGTACTTATTTGTATTTCTTCTTCCCTGAAAAAAAGAAATTACTAATGTGTGTGGACTCACAAAACGGTGCACTTTTTTCTGTGCTAGAGTAATGTATTTGTTATTGCTTTAAATATACTTAATGCACTTTTGAGAAGGTTTCTTATGAAACAAATCCTGGTTTTTGCTGAACCCGTCACGTTCCCAACAGCCTGTTAATGGCCATGTTTAGTGCTCTGCCACAGCAGAGGTGTTTGCAGTGCCATACAGAAACAGCCCTGGAAGCTC